TTTTTTTTTTTTTTTTTTTTTTTTTTTTTTTTTTTTTTTTTTAGTATTTCTAAATGAAAAGGGACCTACACCAAGACTCCTGACTTTCAAATATGTTTGTTTTCTCCCAACCTAAACTATTATAAATATCCCTTTCTATCTAGCCTCAACATGTTGAGCTGACCTGTGCTATTTTCTGTATCATGAGATACAATATGAAAATAGATGTGTAAGTATTTCATTTGGTATTACAAATAGTCATGAGATAAACTTTGGGTATATCCGAACCATCATTTCTCCCAAGTCCCTAAATACCACCGCCATTTGTGATATTTAATTACTGATTTTCATATACTACACATAACAGCAATAAGCTAGAAGCCTCACTAAGAATTATGATAGTAGTTCCTCTTATCACGAATAATCTCTGAGTCAAAAACAGAACAATATCTTGAATAGCCTTATTTACTTTGAGAAAATAGTTTCACATTGTTATCCCTTGTGAATAACAGTGATTACCAGCAACTTGAGAAAAGGTTTTGTAGAGTAGTTCGTATTTTGAAAGAAAAAAAAATATGATATTAAGGTTAAGGAGTTATTCCACGATAGTATGGAAGAAAAAAATATGGTGCTTTGGGTTGCCTTTTGTCATTTTCTTTCGAAAGCTGAAAACAGTTGCATTAGTATAGCCAATAACCAGGAAAGAGCAATTTTAAGCAGCCCACCTACCAAAAGTCTCCCCAGCCATGCAGGAAGAACAAAAAGAAAATCCTGGAATCCAAAATCAGCCATTCAGAATCACTAAGCCAAGCAGGCATGCTCCCCATGCACCACAAACACACCTGGGTCTCAGGGAAGCTGGGTTTTTCATTATGATGTTAAAGTAAAAGAAATGTTTGGTGGGGGCTCTTGTAAACCCAGATATTTTCATTTTATTCTACCTTATTTTTAGATTTCTGAAACCTTTGAAAATCACAGTATAAGCAAACCATTGTCATTGTGATGTCAGTAGAAAATAAAGAGAGATTCAAGTTTTCCATATATAGTTATGTAAGGTTCATAGGTTATTAAAGAAGATTTTTTTTTCTCACTGATAGAAATATAATTTTTCATGGGTAATTAACATAAACACAATATCTGTGTTATTTCTGAATAAAAAATCCAGGAGGCAAAAAACAAACAAACAAACAAACAAAAACATTTTATACCAAAAACATATGTTTAAAATGAGAGCCGGAATAAAGAAATTTATGTTAAATGCTTATTGAGCATATTAATTGGAAATTCTATCAAGAATGTCTCTGAGGTTTGGTACACTAATAAGGAAATTTATTTCAGCTCAATACTGGTTGTCTATTTAGAAGAATTTGAACTACTAAAAGTAAGAATTTTTCAGGTTTAAAAGCAACATGTGGTGATATTTCCTTTAAAAACAGTGTTATTATAATATTGCTTTTAGAAAAGACAAGAATCTCAAAAATAGAAGATAAAAAAGTAATTTAAGAACTGAAAATGTAAGCAGATGCATAGTTAGAGGAATTCTTTGGCTCTGAAGAAAAAGAAAAATGGAACAGAAAGTGAGAAGGAGAGAGGGAAGGGGATGTTAATGGTAGAATTAAACATTTTATACCAAAAACATATGTTTAAAATGAGAGCCGGAATAAAGAAATTTATGTTAAATGCTTATTGAGCATATTAATTGGAAATTCTATCAAGAATGTCTCTGAGGTTTGGTACACTAATAAGGAAATTTATTTCAGCTCAATACTGGTTGTCTATTTAGAAGAATTTGAACTACTAAAAGTAAGAATTTTTCAGGTTTAAAAGCAACATGTGGTGATATTTCCTTTAAAAACAGTGTTATTATAATATTGCTTTTAGAAAAGACAAGAATCTCAAAAATAGAAGATAAAAAAGTAATTTAAGAACTGAAAATGTAAGCAGATGCATAGTTAGAGGAATTCTTTGGCTCTGAAGAAAAAGAAAAATGGAACAGAAAGTGAGAAGGAGAGAGGGAAGGGGATGTTAATGGTAGAATTGAAGACGTCTCATAGAAAGAGTAAATACTATTAACTTTTAACATACTAGAAGAAAACTCCTAGTTCTATGAATGAGGCCTATCAGTTCTTTCTCAAAGATTGCCTGTGTGCCACATAGACAATTTAGATTATGCAAATAAGGGGGAAAAAGAAAGGAAAAGGGAACACCTGACATCTTACTATTTGTAAGTAAACTATCTCAACATTGAAGTTTAGAAATAGTTTTGATCAAGGGTCAGTTTTCCCTCAGACCTACTATTTTAGAAAAACATGATACTAAAGAAGGAGGAGGAAATGTCTTATTCCTCACTGAGCATAGAAATGGAAAGTTCTTACTGAACCTCCAAATTCTCACTTTGTAGTTATAGTTGTCAACTAAAGAAATGGGTCTGTCTCTGAGGAATCAGACACAACACTCTTTAACTATATACAGAAAAAGAAAACAACATGGAAATGTACATAAAAGACTTTTAGGTCCTCCAAATGGCCACTACTACTGTGTATATTCTCAACTTCATCTTAAATTTTATCTTAAATGGCTTTATTTTAAATTTTCATATTTATTAGGGGAAAATGGGATTAATTTTATGGCAAACTTACTCACAAATTCATTTATTCTTTCAAACAGAAAAGAAAGTTTAACGAAATGGGGATCTTTTAGTAAAATTTGTGGTTTCATAATCTATCTTTTACTTTAGATGTAATCCAACTCCTTCTGTATATTGTGTGTAGAAAGATGATTTAACTTTTTTAGCATTTATCTTATGGCGTTTGCACTCACCAGAGAGAGAGAGATGAAAAGAGAGAAACAGAGAGATAAAGTGAGAAAGCACTCTCCTAGGGGCAATGGCCATGTCACAGTCCCATCTCTTCTATTCTCCTCTCAGGATTTTAGGTATGCTCACACACATGCCTGGCATGATTTTCAATCTGTCACGTCTGGAACTGAAACCACGCAGCCAGTCATATGGGTTCTAGTCACTTAACTGCCACATCACCAGCTGGCCCAAAAATGATGTTTTAAAAGAGTACCCTGGGGGATAGTTATATTGTAAAGTTTCATTTAAATAAAATTTTAAAGATTAATCGAGAGAATCATATGGTCTTCATATAGGAGAAAAGAAAAAGAATCCTAGGGATGGAGCAACATAAATATTAAACTAAAAATCAAGATTACAGCCTTTTAAAAATGGAAGGACCTGGGGGTCTTGACCTTATCGCTCAAAAGTAGACTAGCCGGTGTGCTTCACTGGGGAGTTTGAGAGATATGCAGAATTTCAGGTTTCACAGAACCCCCTGAATCAGAAACTACATTTAAATAAGTTCCCCAGGTAAAACATGAGGAGCACTGGCCTTTCAAAATAATCTGGGAACCGGCAGTTAGCGTAATGGCTATGTCTCTGGACTCCCATGTAGTCAACCGCGGTTCGAGTCCCGGACCTGGTGGCTTAAACTCACGCCGGGCGCGTGTGTGTGCGTGCCCAAGATCCCAAGAGGAGAATGGAGGAGAAGGGATTGCGGCGTGGCCATCCCCCCTGGGGGGTGATTTCTCGCTTTCTGTCTCTATGTCTCTGTCTGTCTGGCGAGCGCACGTGCCCTATAGCGAAAACCTCTCCCCCCCCCAAAAAAAAATAATAATAATCATTAAAAAAAAATAATCAAACCATTTGCTTAGCACCCAGGAGCATAAAGATCAAAAGAGTTTTAGTATCTGCTCCAACTGGGTTCAGGAAAAAGAGATATAAAATATAAGAGGAGTAGTTATCATTTATGGCTTTTGATAATGAAGTGCCAGGTAATAGAATAACTTTCATTGCACATTAAATTAACTGACAAATATTTTTTAAGCAGTTTATTCAAAAGCACTATCATTATCCAGTGGGAAAGAGGAGCTGTGACTCAGACTGTATCCTTCTGTAGCCTAGAGAGGAGTTGCATTGAATGCAGAAACTGGAAGATGAAGACACAAAGGAAGCCAATTGGGAGATGGAGCAAAAGGAGTCTTTCACTAGCATATCCAGAAATTTACCAGCTTTCTGAGAAAAATCATTATACTTTTAAACTCATTATAACTGATACATGCAACTAGATGTGACCATTTTAAAATGAGATGAGACTTAGGCAAAACCATGAGAAGGACAGACAGTACAAGTATACAAGGGGACTTCGAAAAGCTCCTGGAAAAATGAAATTGCCAGTTTACTTTGGTGCAAAAAGATTTTGAAATTCATGTATTTTTTTTCATAATACTCATTTCCCATAAGCTTTTAGATGACCCCTTGTATCTGCATTTTCTCTTTCTATTTTTCGATAGTGTTTGGAATCAGATTAAAAACAAAAATAAAATAAGAAGAAGCTTGGTTTCTAAGAACTCTTTTTGGAAAACTTTTTTTTAATATTTGACATTTTTAAATTCCTTGATATGCGATCTATAGAACAGAGAAAGTGCAGATATAATGTTTGTCTACAGTTCTACGGAGCAGAGAGTCACACACTACACATCAGTAAAACACCAAATACCTTTGCAGCTCTGATTAAATACTGAAGAATAGTTTTAGGAAGTTTAATGACAGACTTTGGCAAGGCTAAAATGGCTGATGCAAACTTCCCAATAGCTCTCTAAAAGAAGGACAAAGCAAGATTAATTAGTGGTAAAAAAACCAAAAATGAATAATTTGTTATAGAAGTTAGTGTGCGTATGTCTCCACAATTACATCAAGTAAGTTAAAACGTCGCAGTCACCGAAGCTACGATAAAATGTGTTCCACTCGCGTGTTCGGAGTAAAGAAAACAGTCAGTCCTTGCACGGAATCCATCACACCTGGTGAAGACCAGCATGTTCTCTCTTTTGCTGTGTGATGATTAGTGGTTAGAAGAAAAATGCATTAGAATAGAAACAAACAAGTTAAATCATTAGTCTTTGACAAGCAGGTTGCATACATGCACACAAAGACACAGTCAATAGGAAACATACACCAGGGAGCAAGAGGGTGAGTAAAGAAGTCAGATCAAGATATCTCCATGACTAATGTCCTTCTTCAGTTTCTCTGGGAAGACAGGGGTGGATGATACCAGCCAGCATGAAAAGCCCTGGCAGCAAATCAACCACGGTCTTATTGTGGGTATAGAATGTGGCTTGATGGGTATCACCTGTATACCTTGTAGTATAATAAATGGAAATAATAGTCCCAGTGTGTGGTTCACTGCCATTAGATGTTCATCCTTTGTGTAACTATAATGTCAGATTTTCATCTTTAATTAGACAGTCACTGGATATATTGGATTAGACTGATAAGCTTGAGCTGAGAATGAGAGAGCAGGTTCTGAATTGGAAAGGTAGTTAAACAGAAAAAAAAACAATTATAACAGATATTATTATTTTAATATATTCTCCTTTTTTTTTAGCAATACGAATGAAACTACTAATTTTCAAAATTTGAAACAACATTTAAATGACCACTTGTTTTAAAACAAAAACAAGATATTTTATTTTCACAATCAACTATGTCACAGATCAAACTATACATCCATTCAAGCAATCCAAAGCAATACCATGGAAGTCTTCTTCACCTCGTTTTTGCAACAGAAAAATAAAGTTCACCCAATGAAGCTTTATTTTTTTGTTTATAGCATCAGAAAGTGTTTTGATGCAAGTGAATGAAGACCAGACCCAAAAACTGTTCTTGCATGACAATGATTATGGCATGACTGACAGCAGGCAGCATTACAATTTAAGTAGAAAGAAATAATTTCAGATGTAAATCAGAAGCTTCTATGGGCTATGACATATGAATAGGGCAGAATTCTAGGCCTGCAATCAAGATCTGTTAATAAGAAAATCTCTCCCATCGAACAAAGGACGTGGTTTTCCCCTATCTCAGGATTACCTGGAAGGCTGACTTTCGGGGAGGTTCTTCATCTTCCTTCTTTAATTCTTCTTCTTCCTCCTCTTCGCTGTCCGTTTCAAACAAATAATAATCTCCACTCCTGACCACTATGTAAAACAAAATATTTACTTATTTCTTGAAAGAGATGATAGATAATTGGGGGCCTTATTAATTAAATGCCCCTTAAAGTTACACAAATTGTCCATAAAAGGACCACAGCAAGAGATGGTGTCAGGGAGGAAAAAACAAGATGAATAAAACTCGGTTTAGGCTAATGCTACGTGGTGTTGGCATGACAGGGCCCACAGAGTATGAGGCCTTGTCTATGCCATAGAAGAGGCTGACCACTACATAGATGATCTTGTATTTTGTCCCTTCTTCATTTACAAAATTTACCTAGATGAATCAGATCAACTCTGCAGCAACCAGTTTTGTTAACCAGATGGCCAAAATAACTGAAAACTAGCATTTCAAATTCAACAGTTTTGCTCCTTTAGACAAGGCCAAAGTGAAGTAGAGGATTTGATATTGTCTGAATAGACCCACACTGTCACACATAAACCAATCAGGATGATTCAGGATTAAGGTCATTGTCACCAACCTCCACTTCACTTTATACTGTGTAGACCTGGCTTCCCCACATGTAACACGAGAGACATACATAAATGGCAAGACATTAGAAAGAGTTAAAAAAAAAAAACAACAACAACACACACAACAGCAACAAGAACAACAATAACAAAAACATCGCCACCACCATTTTGGCTACTTCTACAGGTAGCCATGATAGAGTGAGGAATGGCAGACATGGTCCATATGGTTTAGCACTGTTAGACTTCTGGTCAACAAGAAACTCCCCAATAGCTTACTGAAATTTGAGGAGAACTATACTGACCATAAGGCATAAAGCACAAACAGTATGGATTGTCTTTGCCTTGTCTAATATTTTCACTGCATGAACATATGCCTGTGTCGAGTTGGGAAGAGATAAAACTAAAACTACAGAGATTTAAAGACTTTTTAAGAAATTAAAGTTTTTATCAGTTTGATAATTATTTTAAATTTATCAAACAGGAGAAAATTAACATATACATTGTGATGCTACAAGAACTGTACCATCATTGCAGGAAAACATACTCATATTTTCAAATTATATTCAGGTTTTCAAATGCTGAGGCACCTTTTGAATGACAGAACATGGTGTTTTTATCTTTTGTACTTATACATTGTAAGGTAATGGAAAACCTTGGCTTGTTTAAAGTTAGTTGCTTGAACATCATTAGACATGGTCAAAAGGTGAATTATTTTGCCCATGATTTCAGACAAATCTGAAGCCTCCATTCAGGAAGATGCAGAGCGAATGAATTGGGCCTTATATCCTTGAACAGAAGCACTGTAATTTGTTACCCTTATTTTGAAGAAAGAACCAGGCCCAGAGTACTGGGTCTGGGCCTGAGGAAATAAATGCAATACAACATAAGGTAAGAATAAGCAAGAACAAACCAAAGTTACAGCATTACATTTGACAGTGAGGAGGACCATGAAAGTAATGCCTTCACATAAGCTGAGAGATTTGCAGGAAAGTTATGTGGACTCTATATCACAGTCATTTTGGAAAAACACAGAGTATTATCAGATCGAGCATTTTACCCTCATTATAAGCTTTGAAATCAGCAATAGCTTAAATTGTATTCAATCATACCTTCTAGAACTTGCATTCATGTAGACAAGCCAAATGGTTTTCATCTCACACAATTGTTAACTGTGATTTTACCATTAGAAACCTCATGCGTCTAGACGTGAGCAAATGGGTTTCACATATGAAAAAAGGAAATTTAAAAAAAACTCATTTATTTCCTTTCCAAATTGTCATTAAAGTAAAACTAGGAAAATAACAGAGAGTATTTCCTTTAGTGCTTTCTGCTGACAGTAAGTAGAAAAGCTTTTCGTATCTGTTCATTAGTACAGGTGGAGATCCTGCCTCCAGCCTGTGTCCACACATACATCTTACTTGCTGATGCTATTGCTGAATTACCAAATAGGAAGTTCACTTTTTAAATCCTATACTCGGCCCTTTACTTCAGATAGTGGTAAAGGAAGGCTTGCTACTGATTTAGGCAGTGCTGAATTGATAATGATACATACACAACTGGGATGGAAGGTATCATTGAACAGCAATAATGCAGTCCTATGTGTGTACATAGGTATGGAAGTGGGACATTTACTACCTTTTGACTATGGAAGGATCGTCACTGCTTACCAATAATATAAATAAAATAGCAACATTATCATATCATCAATAGATTTACACGGGAGTATTCTAGCTTCACTTATTCTTAAATCAGCATCTCTAAGAAGTAACTATTTGAAAGCCCAGTCACTTCAGAAATCAGAAGAAGGGCTTTTAATAAAGTACTTCCAGATTTGGAGATAAGTTCCCAGAACTCATCACAGATTACAACATAATCTTTCCATTTTGTCCTTCGCAAACTTGTAAAAGGAACTATGTTTTGCCGAAAAAAAAATTTAACAGTCAAAATACGATTCCAAACTATGAATTACACACATTCCTGCATTATTGCACCAAAACGTATTATAACCAGGCACATTTAGTTTAATACCAGTTTTCAAGAACTTGATATAATGAGGGTGAAATGAATCAGAAAATCTAAAGTCAATAACCTGCATAGGAAGTGCTTTAAATTATTACCAACTTATGAAATGATTATCAAAGACCGTATCCAATTCTTTTGACAATGCAATATTTAGACGAGGGAAGGGAAGACAACCACCATGTTTGCAATGGGAATTTACCCCAGGTGAAGTGACAAAACACTCAAGAGGACAGGATTTTGAAAAGGATAGGTCTCGCTAAACTAGCAAAGTCCTTTAAAAACAGAAAGATAAGCACAGTTTACTTGTGACTTGATAGCAACAGGCACGTGGCACACTGCATTATTAGATTATTATCATGCCAATGAACATAAATCAGGGAATCACACTGGATTTCAATTTGAATCTTTGTCTTTTCCCTCAGGCAGAAAATTAAAGAAAACTCTTTATTCTTCATTGTTTGTCTGCTTGGATTTTGTTTTCTATTTGGCTATAATGCTACATGTCAACATTTGGAATTAAATTTAATTCAGATATACTGAGAAAATTTCAAATATTGCTTCATTAAACTAGCTTGTTGATTTTAGACCATTATTTTTGGGGGGCAGAGAAACCAATACCAGGTCTATGGGACACTAAAAATTAGGTATGGGAAATATATTTTGATTTATTTGATTTTCTATTCTGAATATCCTGTGAGTTGAATTTCATATGAACCTTGGTGATACTCAGAGTCCAGTGAGATTAACCAGTTATGAAGATGCAATACAAGATATAAAATACTGAAGACCTTGCAAGTAATTTGCAAATAGTATTCACTATTCTAACAAATTTAAGGAGAACTAGATTGAAATGAGTCAATTCATTAAAATGTCCTTGGCCAATCACGATGTTTTCTTTGCTAAGCAGAACACAGCCACTGAATTCCATAATTCATTTTTACAAACAGGAGGGAAAGGCACCACTCTGATGTGGCTGTCAAGCTTTGCTTTTCAAACAAATTTTCTCATTTTTTTGCTTTTAATTGGTCATCGCAGAGACTCATAGGTGGCTTGGAGGCTGTGTCGATGTTGGGCACTGAGATTTAGAGTGTAGTTTTAGAGCCTTTTTGAAACTAAGGAGGAAGTAAAGTGATAAAGTCAATCCATTTTAAATTATACCTCATCTTTATATTTAATTAATTGCCAAAAAACGTTAAATGCAAATAAAAGCAAAGCTCTGGGAATGAGGGGAGGGAGGCTCATTGGCATCCACGCCTAGTGCCTTACAAAGAGGGTCATAAACATTTTAAACAGCATGATCTCCCTTAAATCAAATCCAAGGAATTCAACATTCAAAAAAACCAATTTAAGCCATAAAACAAATGTATATTCAACAGAGTTCTAGACCTCAGAACTGGATAATATACTAATCAGTTGTTTGTCCCTTTCTGAGCCCGTAAATTACACTTGAGAGTCGGTAAACCATGTATTTAGTTATCTTTAGCCAGCATGCTAATCAGCTGATTTTTCTGGGAAACTCAGTCTACATGGCTCAGAAACCCACGAGTCACAGTTTTCCTACACTCTGACCCCCTATCAAGTCACAAGGATCAAACCATGCATGGGACACACAGGTCATAGGGGTGCCTGAATTCTGGTCAAGGATATAAGGGTTAGAGTCGATGAGATTGGAAGAGGATCGAGAAAACCTACTGGAAGCATGATCAACCCAAGGCCGCCACCACTGCTTTTTTTTGCCCTTGGCTTTCTGTTTTTCTGCTTCTCCTAAAATAAAATATGTCCAAATATTAATTCTTATAAAATGAGAAAACAAATTTTGAAAACCACGCTTTAACAATTCAATTGTCAAATCTAGATAGATTGCAAAAGTATATCAATGGTCAGGAAAAGGGACTATACTGAATCTGAAAAGCATACATGTATTAACAGTCTATTTCACAAGGTAAGTACTAAAAATTAACATTTGCACTTTCTTCTTAGTAACCGAGGGCATATAAAGAAATATAAAAAGGAAGGAATTATCTGTCAAAAAATGCATCTTACATTGAATTTTTCATCAAATTAACAGAAAAGAAAGAAACATCATCCAAATTTTATAAAACCACTTAATTTGTTAAAATGCATAAATTACAATTGTTAGAATTTTTTTTTCTTTTTTCAATTGTTAGAATTTTTTATGATTATATTAATGCAATGGATGGACAACATAAATTTACTGGTGATGAATGTACATTATGACTGAAAAGATATCACATAATATTTCTCTATTCCCTTCAAATAGAAAAGCATGGAGTCCTCTATAAAGAGATCTTTTGGGACCAGCAGATATTTTAATGGTTACGTCGCTGGACTCCCACGTCGTCAACCGTGGTTCGAGTCCTGGATCCAGAGGCTTAAAACTCATGTGGGAGGCATGTGCGTGCATGCCCAAGATCTCTAGAGGAGAATGAAGGAGAAGGGATTGCAGTGTGGTCATCCCCTTGGGGGATGTCTCTGTCTCTCTCTGTCTCTCTCTGTCTCTCCAGTGAGTACATGAGCCCTATAGAAAAAGTCTCTCTAAAAAAAAGAGAGAGATATTTTAAGCTTCAACAGAACATACTAAATCTATAACTAGGTATAATACAAATATATTTCATGTTAAGTTTCACCAGAACAGGTCATCATTGAATGATACTTGACTAATATTCAGGAGTCACATAACATATGCATACATATTAATTTCATTTGCATATAAAATTTATAAAAAGAAGATAACAGTAGACTATATATCTAAAATATCTTCCCTAAAGGAACAGATTAAGAAAAACCATGTCTGTTTTATTCAGAAACAGGTGTATGTGAAACAATAGCCAGGCTATGAGCTTGTTACAGACAACCTGCTGAAGAGTTGCTATTCATACAGTCATTGATTCACTAACTGTTCTTTATGAAATAAATAATTGATCCTATTCACAATTGGGAGAGTAAAACAGAGTTAAAAATGCATTCATAATATTGGCAGAAAAGTAACATTATTCTATAGCTTTACCCAATATACCCACGCTATTATTCGACACTGAAGTCTTGAATAAGGAAAACGTCTTAACGTACTTTCATCATCCTCTTCAGAGAGCTTTTGGATGTCCTGGCCTTCCCCTGACTCCTGAGTCAAGCTCAGCATCCTCTCCTTACCCTTTTTGTATTTCTGCTGCCTGGCCTTGATGCGATCCATCCTAGGAAATAAAATAGCATCAGCAATGCCAAGAACACATTCAGTGTACTGTCTCATCTGTCTCTTGCCCTTGGATGGTTATGTATATAGCTAAAATCATGGACAAAGTGGTCCATTTACTTTGTAATACTTGGGAGTTGTAAAATGGTTGCTTATTAGTAGCAAGTATCTCTTTGTTTTTATTTTATTTTGTACCGTGTAGATGCTAGTTTTAATATGACCAGTTAACAGCTGGGCGAAGTTTTGGGATGTACAACTTGATATCCATTCACATTTTGTATTATAGCCAGTCTGAACTTGGTATATAATGAAATACAAGCACGGTATAATCTCAGGTTTTGCATTCTTAAACAAAATAGAGAAGTGCATTATAGTAATAGGCTTTCCATGCATGGAAAATGAGTAACATATTCTAATTGTAAATTCGAATTTGTTATTCCTCTTGACCTGATAAAGACGGCTTGAAACAGTAATACAGTTGTACTATATTGCATTTGCATTATATTTTATATATAACTCATGTCATTCTAAAATTAACCATGCCATGGTTAATCAAGTTTATATTAGGAAACATTTCTGCTTAGGGAAAAAGCTGGGAAATGAGGCCAGAATTGAATGAAGCTGCCCTAGCAAACCCAGTGAACCTTCCAGGTGGAATGATCGAGTGTCATTTCCTTGGAGAAAGTGCTTAACTTCTGAATTTCATGACTATCAGCTTTTAAACCTGGTGCTCAAGCATGAAAGTCCTACCAGTCCCCAGAGGTTCCACTGACTGCTGGAAGTTTCTCTCTAAGAAACCTTT